GGAGACTTATTGAGGGGTGGGTCTAAATTATGCCAAGGAGGCCCCTTAGGTCGGTGGACTAATGGAGGCTTCCTAATAAGCCCCTGACTTGGGGAAGTGCCCCAAGTGCTTGTATTGGGTCTAGTACCCATTGGACGATCAGGCCTGTGTTTTCCAAGGTGCGCAGAGCCAGAAGTGAGTCCAGAGCCTGGGATGGTGGCAGCGGGAACCCCAGGCTAGCGGGTGTGCTCCAGGGAAGGGGTCGGCCGGACGGGAGGCACCCTAAGGGAGGCACTCGGAGCCTGGAAGGTGGTCGGGAGCAGGGAGGTGGGTGGCTCAACGCAGGAGCGCCCCCTACTGGCCCGCCACACATGTAAAGAGCACCAAGCTCATAAGTCTGTAAAGGGGAAAGGACAGGGGGAGTGGGCAGGGGCAGGGGTGAATGGGGACCCAGGCCTGGGGTGAGTCATGCAACGCTGACAGAGCCATAGGCAGCTGTCTGTCTGTGTGCATGTATCTGTCTGCCCCTCACTGCCAAGCAACAACCCCCCCAGCCCTGCTGCTGCCCCTCACTCATGACCCACAGTACCCCACCTCCTGCCAGGGTGTGTGGGAAGGGAACAGTACTCTCCCTGGGCTCCAAACTCCATACACATACCCAGGTAATTCAGTGAGCAAGGACTAATGAGAGGTAGCTTGTTGTATGCCTGAAGTTATCCAATGCTTTTAGGAATTCATTTGACCTTACTGCATCCTAGAAGACCACATCTTTGACACACTGTACCAGGAGACTGCTTGAGCTTACTCCTGGAATTGTCCTATCTTGTCCCCAGTAGCACTAGTTCACAGTCTCCTAAGGTAAATATAGCCCATCCTTCCCTTTACTGTTATCTGTTTGTGAGTCTTGTACGGACCTTTAGTAGATACTAGTGTAAGTAATAGGAATTAAAGTACTGTGTTTAATATAGTAAGTTGTTCAAATTATGTAATAGATTTTATAGTTTTCCAGTTGTTGTTACATTTAATAAACCATCATTGTTCATTTTCATTTCAGTTTAAAATCGTGTTTGAGAAGCTTCTTTATCTAATTATATCTGATTTCCTTACAAAGTAGTCTGAGCATCCACATGATAGATGCTGGAGGTTGGACTATGCTCATTAGCCCTTGCTCACCGAATTACTTATCAGCTGGTGGGCTTATTTGCATAAATTCCTAGTTACCTGTTGTATTCCAACAGAACCTCCCAAAATGCCTCTACACATCAACAAGGAACATAAACTGACATCCAGCTACCTACCTTCTAGCCAGGCCCATGCTGACCCTCATCAAGTCATCATATACACCTCTGCTTTTTTTAAAAAAAAGCTTCCCTCAAAAGAACTGGGCACTGGCTGAAGCCCAGGCTGGAGATGGGGACTGGGCGGTGCCAATCCTCCTGCCGGGACCAACCCTGAAGGGTCCTGGCGAGAGGGTCTTGGCCCTGTGCTCAGGGTCAGATCAATGTTACATTTGGGGTCAGGAAGGAATTTTACTCCCTAGTCAGCCTGGAAGGGTTTTGCCTTCCTCTGTAATGGGGACATGGCCCTCTTTCTGGGATCACTCAAGCACATTTTAATAACTGTTGCATCAGCAAGACATTAGCAGCTGTTGTCCCCTTGCAGGGTCAGGGTGTGTCATCATGTGTTGTGTCAAGGGTGACTAAGTAGTTTTGCTAAGAAGTTGGACAATGGATTTTTCTGGGATGGTTTGGACAGGCAACAGGCAGGGGGCTGGACTAAACGGCTGCCTATACATGTGCTCAGGGAGGGGAGGGTCCACTTGAATTCGAGCAGTTCTTGGACAGCCACTTTAATTAAAACAGCTCACTGTCATGTGTATTAAGCCCCACAGCATTTCATAGTGGCTGCAGGATGCTTTATCTAAAGCTCATTCGATGAGGTTTAGATAAAGTACCCCCATGGCCAGTCTGAAATGTGCAGGGACTTAACACACATGATCATGAGGCAATGCTGGAGCATTCTACCCAAAACACAGAGTGCTGAGAAGTGTTCTAATTAGAACATGAATGCCCGTGTCTATAGGCCCCCAATGACGTCTCAACTTCCCTTCCAGCCTGACGTCTGTATGATTCTATGATTCCTAAATTACACCCACAGACCACCCCCATCCCCAGAATGGCTAGCATGCATCTATTTCCCAGTTTCCAGTGAATCTCCAGTTTAAATACCAGCGGGGTCAGAACTGGCTCAAAGCAGATGGAACAAGGAGTCAGTAATGGGACTGGTTTTGTCTGGGGCCTGTGGGATGCTGCCATCTCTCGCCTGCAACCTGGACCAACCTGACCACACCTAGGACACCAAAGATGCTTTTACATATTTCACCCCTTGCTTTACTGGTGCTACAGATACAAGAGGCAGCCCAGATGCTTCATGTTACTGATCCCAGGAGAAGGCAACACAACACTCAAATGAGTGGTTCTATCAGTCTGGAGAATCATCTCAAGGGGTCAGAGGACAAACCTAACAATGCAAACTGCAGAACAACTGAGTGGCTCACTCCTACCTTCATAATACGGCTGGAGATCATTCTGGATGGAGAGTGGAAGGGACTGGTAGACTTCTGCCTTGCTCTTGAGGATTTCTCCATCAAGAGAATTCAGGATGACATTTGTCTGCAAGAATCAATGTAAAATATGTGCCATTTCTCACATCAATTATCAGTATTTGTCATTACCACCTCACTGTCAAGGCAAACAGGTCTCAGTAAAGACTCTGGAGGAGGAAAGCCAGTGAGAGATGCAGGCAGGGCAAGGAGCTTCTTGGCTCCTCCCTGCATTAAGGTGGACAAGGTTTTTTTAAGATCACAGATGAGATAAAAACATGTGAGCAGCAACCACCCATGCATTCCACAAGCCTTTCCCCAGTCTAAAGTTTGCACCATACATGAGCCCTCCTAACCAACTTCTGAGTTCCCAGCTCTTCGGCCCCATGGCCCCAGGTTCCTGTGTGATATCTCTAACTGGGGTAGAAGACCTTGAATTGATGATGGATTTATCACTTCTGCCCCCCAGTTTCCCTTCTTGACCAATCCAGGCTGTCCAGCACCTGACCCGGGTGTCCAGAACTATGATCCCCAGATCTGTTAAAGGGTATTTACCATTGTTAGGTAAGCAAGAGGTTGTTGGACTCAAGTGCATGATGTCCTCAGCCAGCCTGAGGTCCCAGTTACTTTTCACTTGTATCAGGCATTTGAATTGTACCCCTGATAGTTCACTTGGGATCAGCCCTGAGGACACTGCTCCAGCAATATAGTGGCATGGATTCAGTGCAAAAAGTGTGCACTATCCTAAAGCTTGGGCCTGGGTCATGTTTAATCCTTGCTTTTATTTCAGCCAGACTTAGTTTCTTTGCCATAGCTAGAGACTTGATGCTGGATTATCTTCAAGCTCAAGCAGTGCAAGGCAGCTGGCAACACTCGTGCTATATGAGAACCTCTCAGCAGCAAAAAGGCAGTTTCATTGAATGCAAACACCCCAAGTCCCCAGCCCTTTGTCTTGTGCTTGGTAGTCTGTGGCTAGCTGGATGACCCCACTGGAGTGGTTACTGCCAGCATAATTTAAAGCAGATATTAAGATGTTGTAAATTATGCCCTGAAAATGGGGATGTCATCAATGTTCATCAACAACCTGCAAAATGAGATGGACTGCACCCCCAGCAAGTTTGCAGATGACACCAAGCTAGGAGGAGTAGTGGATAAGCTGAAGGGTAGGGCTAGGATTTAGAGAGACCTCAACAAATTGGATAATTGAACCAAAAGAAATCTCATGAGGTTCAATAAGGACAAATGCAAAGCCCTGTACTTACAAGCCCATGCACTGGTACTACAGGCTGGGGACCAGCTGTCTAAGTCCCCAGGTTGCAAAAAAGGACCTGGGGGTTACAGTGGACAATAAATGGGATAGGAGTCAACAGTGTGCCCTTATTGCCAAGAAGGTCAAGAGCATACTGAGCTGCATTAGCAGGAGGGTTTCCAGCAGATGGAGGGCAATGGCTCTTCCCCTCTATTCACCACTGGGGAGGCCACATCTGCAGTCCTGTGTCCAGTTGTGGGGCCCCCACTACAGAAAGGATGTGGACAAACTGGAGGGAGTCTAGTGAAGGGCAATGAAAATGGTTGTGGGGCTGGGGGACAGGACTGGTGAGGAGAGGCTGAGGGAACTGGGCTGATTTGGTCTGGAGAAGAGAAAACTGAAGTGGGGTTTAACAGCAGCCTTCAACTCCCTGCAGGCGGGCTGCAAAGAGGATGGAGCTGGACTGGTCTCAGTGGGGGCAGACGACAGAACAAGGAGCAATGGGCTCAAGCTGCAACAGGGGAAGCTGAGGTTGGATATTAGGAAAAACTTTCTCACTAGTAGGAGAGTGGTGAAGCACTGGAACAGATAATCCAGGGAGGTGGTGGACTCTCCATCCTTGGAGGTGTTGAAGCCCCGGCTAGACAAAGCCTTGGCTGGGTTGATGTAGTTGGGGCTGGTCCTGCTTTGAGCAGGGGTTGGACTAGGTGTGACCTCCTGAGGCCCTTCACACCCTCATTGTCTGTGATTCTGTTTCCCTCTCCTCGGTAATAACTGCTACATACTGTGTGTACTGGGAACAAGGTAGAATTCTTCACATCCCCTCTCCTGTCTGAGGTCATCCCAGGTGTTCATCACAGACAGCAGGAGCCTTCATGGTAGAGTCTTCATAACTTTAACCACATTCTCCTTGAAATTCCTCTCCCCTTGTTGTTCCCTACTTAGACTTGCCCTGCAGTCTCCTCAGCCCCCGCCCAGCAGGGGAGCAGGACAGCAGGCATCTCGTGGCCTGGGCTGCAGCTGGCAGTACAAAGTGGTCCCCACTGGGCCACTGGCCTGGTCTCCTCCCTCTGAACATGCACTTACTTCTTGCACAAGGAAGTCAAGCCGACTACTATCAGCCATTGATTTCTTCTTTCCACCCTCCTTGAATTTCTCCTGCACGCTGCACCTGAATGTCTCAAGGCAACCTTTCAGTGTGGCTCGGGTGCCTGCTTGGTCCCTATTGGGATAATAAAACACATATCATGAAAAGGACAATCAGCTTCCCCCACTACCACACTTTGCACAGCTGATGGGGAGGCTCTTCAGCCTGGAAAAGCGCAGGCTCAGGGGCGATCTGGGGGCCACGTATAAGTTTATTAGGGGTGCTCACCAGGATCTAGGGGAACGTTTGTTCACCAGAGCACCCCAATGGATGACAAGATCAAATGGTCACAAACTCCACCACGACTGATTCAGGCTGGACATAAGGAAGAACTTCTCTACTGTCCGAGTTCCCAAGGTCTGGAATAGACTGCCACCAGAGGTGGTTCAAGCGCCTACATTGAACACCTTCAAGACACTTTTGGATGTTTATCTTGCTGGGATCCTATGATCCCTGCTGACTTCCTGCATTGGGCAGGGGGCTGGACTTGATGATCCTCCAGAGTCCCTTCCAGCCCTAATGTCTATGAAATCTATGAAATATGATCCTGAACAATCTTTTCAAAGACCTTTCCAAGGATGGAGGTGAGACTGACTGGCCTATAATTACTTAGATCCTCCTTCCTCCCCTTCTTGAAAATAGGGACCACATTGGCCCTTTTCCGGTCCTCTGAAACCTGACCTGAGCGCCACGAGCACTCAACCAGCCATGCCAGTAGTTCTGCTATGACACCGGCCAATTCCTTCAGTGCCCTTGGATGAAGCTCACCCGGGCCTGCTGATTTGGACACATCCAGTCCATCCAAGTGACTCTGCACCAAGTCAGCATTGACAGTTGGTGAGCTGGTGTCCCTCTGATGCCCATCTAGGAACCCATTAGAAGACTTATCTGGAGCCCTGTTCAGGAACACTGAGGCTAAAAACTCATTGAATAGCTCAGCCGTGTCCTCCCGCTCTGTCACTAATTGCTCCTGCTTGTTCAGTAGGGGTCCTATGCCACCTTGCACCTTCTTGTTACTCCCTGCATACCTAAAAAAGGATTTTTGTTGTCTTTAATTTGTGTTGCCAGCCTTAGCTCTGTAGTTGCTTTAGCCTTTCTAACTGCCTCCCTGCAAGTGTGGGTCAAGTAGGTATATCCCTCCTTGGTAGCTTCCCCCTGCTTCCACTGCCTATATGCCTCCTTTTTTGCCCTTAGACTCCTCTGAATTTCCCTGTTTAGCCAAGGAAGATTTTGGCCCCTTTCTCCCCTACATTTGTAATCCTGACAAATGCTGGAGAACCAACATAAACAGGTGAATCAGGGTAGAGACTATTCTCTACAGTGATAATGCTAGTCCCATTGTAATGGGCTTGGGGAGATGACAGGGATCCCACAGGCCTGACCTACCCCTGTAAGCCAGGGAACTGAGAGCTAATGAGCACAGCCTCGATGGCAAGTCAGGCTCTCTGCCGTCAGGGCAGAACAGGGTCTCTCTCACCTGAAGATGGCTCCAAATATTGGGTTGATTTTTTCATAGATGGGTCGAGCCAGGTCATTGTTGATGTCTAAACGAGCAAAGGTGCGGGACACGTACATGCCATTTTTCTGGCACAAGGCTTTCAGGGTCCTGTGATAACCTCGTTTTCCACTGGTTCGCTACATCATTGGAAACACGGCCGTGATGAAGTGGGTGTGATAGGGATCAGAAAGACAATGGGGTGGGGAGGAGGAGGAAGAGAGAATGACTGCACTATGTAGCACCCCAAAACTCCCATCAAGGGTCAAAGTTCCACTGTGCCTGAGTTTCCGACCATTGCCCCAAAGACTTTCTCCAATAACTGCTTCATACAAAATGCATAAACAGTGCTTTGAATGGAAACCATTTTATCTGCAGAGTCATGATCACTCTTGTTCTTTCTCCATCCCCCTCCACCCCCAACTCTCTGTCCCAATAAATCTTTCATTCTTTTATCCAATGTGGAACAGCTTGAAAAGCACAGGGAGGATGCGCTCCCTCAACCCATCCTGCTCCACAAGAGTCTACCACACTCTTCTGGGAGGTGGGAGATGTGAGTTTAAAGACCTTCAGGCAGAAGAGGAACTAGACCCAAGTCTCCCATCCACCCCTGAGCAATGTGCAAAGGGAAGGCAGGCAGTGGCTCCTTCCCCCGCTTCTGTGTTCTGGAAGGAAATCAGCAGCTCCTAATGCATATTGCAGACAGTCTGCTTCTTTACTTGTAATGTGAAAAAGCCTAACTGGGGAGACCATCATCCCACCTCTTTGTCCTGGGCTCTACGAATCTTTGTCCCGCTTGCTCAGGAAGTCTGGTTCTACCCACTGAAAGCATGTAAAAGCAGTAAAACTTTATAACATTGCACAAATTGCTTCTACTCTATATCAGTCTATGAGTTTGCATGTCTATCTCCTAGGTTTTTATCTAAAGTTTCCCCATGAATTTTCAAGCTTTTTTTTTTTAATTATCAATTTTAATGAGGTATAGGGTATAGAAGCTGGTGGGAACTGCTGGGCAGAGGATGCCAAGGAAAGTCAAGAGTATGCTACTCACATTTAGGATCCCATCGACAATGTTCTGGTGTGATTTTTTTGCTATCTGTATGCCATCCTTAAGAGGTTGCTCTATCTGAGCAAAACATTTCTCAACCTCCTTCTCCAATTCATTAATTCCCTTCATCACAAAGGTTTCCAAGTTGTTCTGCTGAAGTTTCCAGCTCTGGAATGGCAGAGAAGCACAAGACATCACTCAGCAGCTGGTGCCTGGTGGCAGCAAACAGATTCCAGGATTTCTTTCCTCTAGGAGTGTGATCCAGGCACAGGTTGGTTCAGCTCACTCATGGAAGCCTCTTAAAAACACCAGGTTGCTGAAAGAGGGGTTTAAACCCACTTGTTAGGTGGTACCCATCCTCCTTTTCTCCCCCAGTGATGAACTTCCAACAGTGCTCCACCGGGAGTTAGTGCCTGGGTGTGATGTCACCAGAGAGGGTGGAAATGACCAATCAAATCATGGTCTTGGAAAAATGTAGGTGCATCTGCTGTAGAGGAAATGATGCATTCTTCACATGAATGCCATTTCACAGGGACTGCCCACAGAGCAAGCAACAGTGTAGAAAGGTTGCAGGGATTTCTACCAGTCACCAGGCTTGTTCTGGGGGCAGAATTCAACTCTGGTCTTTCAGTATCAAAAACACAGGCTCAATCCTTTGCATCAATTCAAGCTAAAGAACAATCTAATTAGCTTTCAGCAGCATGGGGTCTATGATACACAAGTGAGCAGTTGTCTCTCTTTCCAATGAATGGCACAAAATGACAAAATTCAAGATCCTGGGGTGGAGAGGGGGGTGAAGAAGGAGACCTGCAGAATAAGGATGATGGAGTTCAGAAAATCAAACCGTGGGAAAAAGCAGTCCAAGAGAGCTGATTGTATTTTAAGGAGACTCTCTTAAGAGCACAGGGGATGCAATGAAGGAGTGAGAAGTGCAACAGGAGACCAGCCTGGCTAGACAGTGATCTCTGCAAGAGGCTGAAACTCAAAAGGGAATCCTACAAAAAGTGGAAACTTGGTCATAGTACTAGGGAAGAGTACAATTGTATCACATGGAAGATATTGAATTTTACCCAATTTTTTACATGAAATGTTCATAATTTGACAAGGAATAAGCAAGTTTGACCACCTGAAGCCTGAGACCCTGCTCCTGCCTTTGTTCAAGGTAATTTGCATCATCACAGAGTGCAGAGACATCTTACCAAATAAGAAATGCCAGCCCAGAAGAGCATCCATCTTTACTCCCCTGTGAAATATGAAATACCACAACCAGAAGAAAATATGACTACATCCTGCTTACCACCAAACAACTTTGAGGTAAACAGCCTGTTCCAACTTTTCTTTGAGCTTAATCTGCATATAAAATGAACTGTTTCAAACAGATTTTCCCACACCTTCAACTCTCCTGTGAAATATGAACTTTCATTTCTACCCAGAAGAACTTTTACAATCCTGTCTCCTATGCCTAAAGAAGGGTGCTTGTGCCCAAAAGCTTTCAATTAAAGATTTTTTTTGCAAAAATCTAGTTGGTCTAATAAAAGATATCACCTCTACCACGAGTTTTGATTTCATAGAATCACATGGGCATACAGGGAGAAAAAGAGGAAGACCAAGGCACCATTTGAGATACAGCTGGAAAGGAACATAAAAAGCAATTAAAAAAAAGGAGTCTACAGGTATATCAAGAATAAGAGGAAGAATAGAGACACTGTAGCTCCATTAAGAAATGAGGAAGGCAATCTAGCCACAAACAATGCAGAGAAAGCTGAAATATTTCATTTCTATATTGGAATTTTCTACTTCTGTCTTCATAAATAGGGGAAGCTACCACAAGATGAGTACAATTGGTAGCAGATATATGGAAGATGACAACCAGCCTACAGCAGCCTTCCCTCTAAGCTGTGCAGCATGTGCAGCTGTGCAGATGCACCTGGCAGAGTGGCATGAGCACACCTGCACAGCCACGCATGCCATACAGCTTAGAGGGAACGCTGGCCTACAGTAGTAGAAGAACAGGTTAGGGATTACTTAGTGAAGCTAAATATTTTCAAAATCATCACGGCTGGATGGAATGCACCCCATGGTACTGAAGGAACTGGCTGAGGTAATTTTGGAGCCATTGGCTATCCTCTTTGAAAATTCCTGGAGGTCAGGTGAGGCCTCAGGTGACTGGAAAAGGGCAAATATAGTGCCCATCTTTAAGAAAGGGAAGAAGGAGGATCCAGGAAACTTCAGACTAGTCAGTCTAACCACTATACCCAGAAAGATCATGGAGTAGGTCCTCAAGGAATCCATAATGAAGCCCCTAGACCAGTGGTTTTCAACCTTTCATTTGTGGACCCCTAAAAAATTGCAAAAGCAGGTGTGGATCCCTTTGAATTGTAAGCATGGGTATTCACATTCTTCTGATTGATCATAGTCATCTTTTGTGGACCCCCTAGACATAATAGGTGGACCCCAAGGGGTCTGTGGATCAAAGGCTGAAAATGACTGCCCTAGAGGAGAACGAGGTGATCAGGAACAGTCAGCCTGGGGAATTTAGACAACCCACTCATGTCTGACCAAACTGATTTCCTTCTATGATAAGGTGACAGGCTATCTGGATGGGGAAGAGCAATGGAAGTGATAAGTCTTGACTTGTGCAAGGTTTTCGACACTCTCCCACAATATTCTCATTAACAAGCTAAGGAAATACAGACCAGATTAAAGCACTGTAAGGTGAGTATGTAACTGGATGGATGATCATACTCGACAAGTAGTCCTCAATGGCTCAATGTCAAGCTGGGAGGAGGTATCAAGGGCGGTTCCATAGGGTTCTCCACCTGGGTCCAATACTGTTCAACATCTTAATTAATGGTTTGGATGATGGGATCAAGTGTATGCTTAGCAAAATTGCAGACAGAACCAAGTTTGATGGAATGCACAGACCCCTGAAGGCAGATCTAGAATCCAGAATGACCTGGACAATTTGGAGAAATGCTCCACAATCAATGTGATTGTGGACCATAAACTCCAGGAAGGAGTTTAGGGTCCAACGGCCATATGGTTCAATGGCCATAAACTCCAGGAAGGCCGATTTAGACTAGACATCAGAAAAAAGTGCTTTACAGTGTGTGAGTTCAGGGTCTGGAACAAACTCCCCCCAGAGGTGGTGCAAGCACCTACTCTGGACTCTTTCAAAAAACAGGTGGATATAGTTCTTGCTGGGGCCACATGATCCCAGCTGACTTCCCATCTATGGCAGGGGGGCTGGACCTGATGATCTCATGAGGTCCCTTTCAGCCCCTAATGTCTATGAAATCTATGAGATGAGTCAACAAGGACAATTGAAAAGTACTGCACTTGGGATGGAATAACGGCTTGCACAAATACAGCCTGGGGAATGACCAGCTCGGCTGCAGTACTGCAGAGAAGGACCTGGGCGTTACAGTGGACCAGAAGCTGAATAAGAGCCCACAATGAACTCCTGTTGCAAAAAAGGTCAGAAGCACTCTGAGTTGTATTAACAGGGTGTTGCTTACAAATCAAGGGAAGTGATTCTTCTCTTCTATCCAACGCTGACGAGGCCTCACCTGGAGTCCTATGTCCAGTTTTGGGCCCCGTTCATTACAAAGCCTGTGGACAGTTTGGAAAGAGTCAAGGACAGAGCAAAAAAATGATCAGGGGCCTTGGAGGCAAGATTTATGAGGAAAGGCTGAAAGAGCTAGCGTTATTTAGTCTGGAGAAGAGAAGACTGATGGGGTAATTTCATAACATGCTCCAAATCCCCAAAGGGCAAGTATGGAGAGGATGGAGTTAGGTCATAGAAGGCAGGACTAGTAGAAA